TCATGTTTACACATAGGTGTTTTTAATTGCCCGTGTTGTGATCATACTCAGTGGTGAGCACGTTGTCACAAAGAGAGAATAATTCTACTCAATCTCCTTTTATGCCTGAGTTCTTGCTATGGCTCTTGCCATGAAATAACTGCTTTTGATCATGCCCAGAGCAAAGGAAATACCCATGATATGCATAGGACAAAACCTGGAACTTTTAGCTGCCACACAGACATCAAGTCCAATGATTCCTTCTGGTACAGAGGATCCAGTAATAATAATCATGCTAAATTCTATTTAACCAGTTGGATCCAAAGTGGCAAGAACAATGGCAAGAATTACTGCTAGTTACTCCTTACTGGAATATATCTAGATTCTCTCTCCCTCTCTCTCTATATATATATAAAAAGTCATTTACTTTTTTTTTTTAAAAGATCTCCGTTTAATGAATGGCACAAGTCCCTGCTCTGGGAGGGTTGAAGTCTTTCACAATGACACATGGGGGACCGTTTGTGACACTGGCTGGGATTTACAAGATGCCCAAGTGGTCTGCAGGCAGCTGGGCTGTGGCAATGCCTCCAAAGCATCGAGCAGAGCACACTATGGCCAAGGACCTGGCCCCATTTGGCTGGAGAGCATCAACTGTACAGGAAAAGAAGAATTCCTGAAGGAGTGCCAGAAGGGGAGCTGGGGAGAGCACAGTTGCAGCCACAGCCAGGATGCCAGCGTGAAGTGTTCAGGTACATGCCTTTCACAAGTTGTACTTACCAAAGACTGCATGGGGCTAATGTATCCTCAAAGCGACCATGGATAGGATGAGTCTTTATCTTCTATTTCCATGTGAATGGAAATTGAATCCAGACAAGACAGAGGTCCTCCTGGTCAGTCAAAAGACCAAACAAGGCTTAGGGTTACAGCCTGTGCTGGATGGGGTTACACTCCCCTGAAGGCACAGGTTCGCAGTTTGGGAGTGTTCCTGGAGCCATTGCTGAACCTGGAACATCAGGTTTCAGGGGTGGCCAGGGGAGCTTTTGCACAATTAAAACTTGTGCACCAGCTGCACCTGTACCTTGGGAAGTCTGACTTGGCCACAGAGGTCCACACTCTGGTTACATCCTGTATAGATTACTGCGATGCACTCTACATGGGATTGCCTCTGAAGACTGCTTGGAAGCTCCAACTGGTCCAGTGAGCGGCAGCCAGGTTGCTTACCATAGCGGCATTCAGGGAGCATACAACTCCACTACCGAGTACAATTCAAAGTGCTGGCCTTAGCCTATAAAGCCCTAAACGGTTCCGGCTCAGGCTTCCTGTCCAAACGTATAGTCCCCTATACCAGCTTGGAGACTAAGATCATCTGGAAGGCCCTCCTCTCGGTCCCGCCTGCCTCACAAGTACGGCTGGCGGGGACAAGACAGGGCCTTCTCAGTGGTGGCCCCTCGGTTGTGGAACTCCCTTCCTAGTGACATCAGATCATCCCCCTCCCTACTAGCCTTCAGGAATAAAGTCAAAACCTGGCTTTGGGAGCAGGCTTTTGAAAATTAGGGCAATGCAGTATCCCAAATATAGAATTATGTGCAATTTGACCTTGGAATGGCCTTAGACATTGAAATTTGGATGGCGTGTTTTTAACTTTGAATGTATTTTAATCACATCTAATATGTTGTAATTTAAAACTATTTTAGGTGAATGTGTTGTTTTAAGTCACTGTGTATGTGCCATTGTAAGCTGCCTTGAGTCCCCAAGCTGTGGAAGAGAAAGGCGGGGTATAAATATGGCAAATAAATAAATAATTGGTCCAAAGTGTTATTTTGAGAGGGTTGAGGTGTCTGTTAACCAGACATGGTAAACCATGTATTTATTTATTTATTTACTTACTTACTTACTTGGTTTTATATTCCATCCTCTCCCCCTCAATGAGGGACTCAGAGCAGCCATGACAGTTGGGATCTGAACAATGCTCAAATTGTGTGCAAGGAATTTGATTGCAGAGAACCAATGGCAGTCCCATGAGAAGCTCACTTTGGTGGAGAATGGCTCCATCTGGCTATCTGATACAGAATGTCAAGAAAGAGAGGCATTTCAGTTTCTGTCACTTGAAAGCCCAGGCAAAGCTCAGTTGCACTTGTTAAAAAGATTCTGGTGTCATTTGTTCAATTAAGTCCTATCCAGTATTTCTAGAAACTGTTACATAGATGAAATAGATTGAGGGATGGATAAATGGATTGATTTTAATAAGCTCTATGAATAATGTTTCTGCATGTGTTTCTTTGTATGCACATCCCTGTAAGTCACCTGTTGACTTCCCATGCTTGGATGGATGTTCAGAAGATTTAATTAGGCAAGGAATACTCAGACCACTTTGACACTGCCCCTATATCCCAAGATCTGCTCCCAGATTATCAGGCAGTGGAAACTCACATAACCTAGGTCAGTTGAAACATTCACACCTAGCTCCAGCAGACAAGAGTCCTTTGTCTCACCCTGGTCATTCCACAGATATATAAATCCTTTTTCCTAGTTCCAACAGACCTCACTACCTCTGAGGATGCTTGTCATAGATGCAGGCGAAACGTCAGGAGAAAATGCCTTTAGACCATGGCCATATAGCCCGAAAAAACCTACAACAACCCAGTCACATAACCTAGTTTAAAGCAGATAATCTGGGATCAGATCCTGGGATATAGGGCAATTTAGAAGGGACCTCAGAGGTGGTTGTGCTCGTTTCAACCTATGAGATATTGTCATAAACACTTTTTAAACAAAAGTCCTTTTATTGCATTTTCAGTAAGAGAGCATATCAGAGTAACCTTTACACAGAGAAAGAAGGTAGACATACAGATTACCTAAGATACATTGGTTAACAAACAAACAAAGGGGATTCTACACCTACTCCGCATGCACACTACACATACGCATTCACCCATCACATGCATGCATCACCATTCTTCCTCCATCTCCTGGAGAAGAACACCTGCACTTAGGCCAGATTGCTTCCCTGCACATCTGCCGTTTTTCCAATACTTCCAATACACATTTTTCCCTTCCTCTGTGAAAGAAGCAAGTGACCAGACTCTGAGATCCATTGCAGATCTGCCATTCTCCTAAT